TGTCTTTTTCTTGAAGTTGACCAAAGCTTCGGTGAAAAGCGAACGGTACTGCTCCGCACTCGAAGGCTCGATCGCAGGCATGGGGATGAAGGGACTTCCAGTTGTTTTGCAAAGGCGATGAAAGAGGTCCTTGTGGGCAAAGGGGAACGTGGAAGACCAGTGCCGAACTTGGCTATTGGTGATGTTAAGTTGGCGCCCAGGTTGGCACGCGGTGATACTTATATCGAATATCGACTAAGCATTTCCGCGGCGCTAGCACCGACAACGAAAGCGACATTGAAACTGGCCAGACGCACGGTACATATGCGCGCCACTCGACGGTGATCTGCCTGACGCGCGGATGGGATCAAGCGCTTCGCGCGCACCACATTGCGCTGTGCGGTTGCTTGACGGCCGGTCGCCTGCTTATCGTTAAGCTGCTTGCGCGTATATGTCGTGTGCGACGACGGGGAGTAGACAAGTGTGTCAGGGTCGGGGAGAAGGAGAAAGTGAATGGAAAGAGACGGGTAGATTGGCGGAGCAATTGGTATGGACTGCAGGGACGAGCGCAGCGAAGAGGGCGTGGCGAAGGTTGAAGCGGGCATGTGAGGGCATGTGGGCCCGTTGAGGGAAGGACGGCAGCGCGGTGCGACACCAGTCGACCTTACGCGTTCGGTAGGGCCGGTGTATGTGAACGACTGTCTTCACTTGGCCAGTCTGTTACGGAGACTAGGCCAGTGTCGATGTGACTGCGGCGGTAGCAGTTCTGCGCCTGTCTCTCACGACATCTCTCGAGCAGGGAGGCGTTGTTACCTCATACTATAGCCGTAGAGACGGCGCTATGATCGCAGGAGGGGACAGACATTGTCCCGAGCGTCGAGGCTAATGATGATGGCTGCCGTTGTTGAACATTCGGCCGTTGCCGCGCGGGTCATTCAGCCGGCTGCCGCGGGCCTCAGTTGTCTCATTGGCTTTTACGGTCTCTCCCCGTAGTCGACCAATGATTATCCTATTCTATTTTCTTCATACCCAGTCTCTCCTTTAGAGCCCGCGTAATTTCCTCCTCTTACAAGAACAGCAAGGATTTCTCTGAATACTCTGATGAGTTTGGCAGGGTCCTCAGCTGTGGCTCTGCCCAACCGGTTGCAACCACACCCGGGAAGGAGTTCAAGGAGGTCCAAGAACGCGGACAAGGCCCGCTCACGCACCATGAATACGTCCAAGGGCAAAGGCGCCGGTCTTGTCCCTGCCCCCACAGAAGAGTTTCTCGTCCCAGACAGCAGCTTCTTCCCCTTCAGCCTTGACCCGCCTACTCCCGGCACATCATATTCCGACCGCGCGCCAGCCTGCCGCGCACCAAATCAGTTGCGAGTGACGCCGCATGCGCACGGGAGCCGCCGCGCGTGTCATCGCACTCGCCAACCAGCGCGACGTCCACGCGCGCTGTGCCGCCGCGTACGCCCAGCGCCGACAAGTGGGAGACCGTCACCGGTCACCGTGCAGCTCGAGGGGAACCACCTGTGCGCGCTCCTCCCCCCCGCCCAGCACGCACGCCAAACTGACGCCACGGCGAACATGCTGCGCGTCGCGGGATACGTCTGGGGCGCGGGCGCCGCCGGCGGGGGGCGCTTTGCGCTCGTGCTGCTGAGCGATCTTGTGTTTAATCACTCGCAGGTGCGTGTTCCGTGCTGCGTGCGTACGTGTGCGGCGCGCGGTCCGAGTGGCGGGCGTGACGATACGGCGCGTTGCTGCGTATGGCACGCGCGGCGCTCGCGCCCGGCGGGTGCGCGCTCGTGCTTTACATGCACCACCGGCCGCACCTCGCCACACGCGACATGGCGTTCTTCGCGCAGGCGCGAGAAGAGGTCGTCACGGAGCGGTTCCCGGTGCGTGTTGCGCGCCACTGTGCGCGCGGGGCGTGCTGATCGTGCGTGTTTGTGGACAGCCAATGTTCCCGGAGGACCTGGGCGCGGAGGTGTGGGCGACGGTGTATGGGTGGAAGCTCACGCGGGATGCGGACTAGGCTAGCGGTGTGCAGGCATATTCTACCGAGCACACGACAAAATGTAGCCGTAGTATTGAGTACATAAGTGCTGTATGTATCTGAGTGAGGGTGATGCCAAAAGCCTGCTCAAGGGACGCGGAGACAAGCGGGTGTAACGGCCGACACGTGATTGGCGGGTTGCCGCGGGGTCCGAGTGCGCCCGGCGCAGAGCGACGGCTCGGACGATCCTCTGCTCTCTCCTACCGCCACTGCCAGACACGATGGCTACCACCGCCGCCCTCCGCCGCTCCCTCCTCACCCCCAAGCGCGCCCTTGCCCCGCTCGCCATCGGTGCGCCTCCTTTACCCGCCCCGCGGCCCACGCTGGCTAACCCGGCCGCCCCGACCCACCCGCAGCGCGCCACACCTCGAACTTTGCCTACGTCCCCGGCGGCCGTACGTCCCCCCATTTACCTCTGCAGCACACACTGACACGCAGCACAGCGATCTACAAGGGCACCGTGAACGACCCGACGTCCTTCCCGGCGCCGAACAAGGCGCACGGCTCGTACCACTGGTCGTTCGAGCGCCTGCTCGCCGCGGGGCTCGTCCCGCTCACCGGCGCCGCGTTCGTCACGAGCGGCTCGGGCGCGCCGCTGCTCGACGGGCTGCTCGGCGTCAGCCTGCTCGTGCACAGCCACATCGGGGTGCGTGCGCCGCGCCTGCGTGTGTGCTGATATTGACGGTGGTGGTGGTGTTGGGGGCCAGTTCGACGCAATCCTGGTGGACTATGTGCACAAGCGCAAGTTCCCGACGCTCGGCCCGCTGCTTGCGTGGGCGCTGCGCCTCACGACGCTCGGCGTTGGCGTTGGCGTGTACCAGTTCAACACGAACGACGTCGGTGCGTGTGCTGCGTCCTGTCTTTCCCATTGCTCTTCTCATGCGTGTTCGCGATAGGCTTGACGGAACTCATCCGCCGTGTGTGGACTGCGTAGACGGGAGGACCTTGAGCGCGCACGCGCCAGATCGTAGCCCCGCATCGTGTGTACTAGAAAAATACAGGTTCTGTCGACGCTCCATACTGGCACCCCGCAAGAGAAAGTAAGAGCGTGATGGAATGCTGAGGATACACATGCGAAGTACATGCCGCATATACACATGAAAAATAAAGACGGAAACAGATGATGCCCGGAACGATGCGGAAGATTAACAGGGTTTATGCTACAGTGCAGCGTGAGGTAGTAAATGGTGATACAGTTTAGGCTCGACGTCTTTCTCTCCTTTTTCTCTGCGGGCTCAGCTCGGTAGCTGACCGCGCTCTCCCCGGTTCGATTTCGGTCGTGAGGACATTAGGGAAATGCATAGTGTGGGTGTGGGTGTGTGATGAGATGCAATTTGATGGATGCTTGTCGTGGCAGATGCAGATGCAGATGATAACGCGGGCGCTAAAGTCCTCCGATGGCTTTTCGAAGGGCGGGGTAAAGAACAAGCGGGCCTCTATGCGATGCCCGCGCCCAAAGGCAGCATCCACGCTGCATGCCATCACGAGCGTCAGCGCGCACCCCGCAAAAGAAGATCACCGAGTACTCACATAATTGCGTGAGCACCCGCTCGAGCAGCTCCGGCGCCGAGAAGAGCGACGCCGCCTGGACGAGGACCTTGCGGGCGAAAGCGTGCGCATCAACGAGCGTCGTCATCGTGATATATATCTCCAGCGATGGGGGTGACAGCAACAGAAAAGAAGGCGGTGCGGGTGAGGGCAGCGCTGGTGTTGGCGGTGGGTTCGAGGAGGGCAGAAGAAGAAGCACCAGAGGCGGCGAGCTTAAAGACGGGCTTCGCGCGCGCGCAATTAGGCAGGAAAGGGGTGCGTGCGGGTGGGGTGGGATGAGATAGGGGTTGTGGGTGGGTGGACGGGCGGCAGCTATAAGCACGATCGGAGTTTGCGCAAGTGGCGCGCTGGCTAGGATTTGCGGCCAAAGTTTGGATGAGGCTGCGTTTGTCAGTGATAGTGGTGAGTAGTTGTGACTGTGCCCCGGATCATGCGCTCAAACGGGGCGCGCGCGCGACGCGCTCCCGAACGCGTCCGGAATGAAGGCTTCCCTTCCCACCCCCGGCCTGCGCGCAGGTCATGCGCAGGGCTCCGCCGTTTGCGCGGACGGGTCGTGCGTAAGCGTGATATGGCTTTGCGTGCGTCGTGCGGTCGCGGGGTCCATAACGTTCCGGGCGCAGCTGCGGGCCTTGGTTCGTCCTAGGGTGGGTGGCAGGCGCCAGAATCATCCATCCATGTCCGCGCCGAATTTGATATCGCGGGCGCGGCGCAGCAGCTAGCCAACCAGCCACCGACCAGAGGGCGCTCGGAGTACGGCCTTGGGATAGAAACGCGATACGACGCAGGCTGGACTCCGAAACGAGATCCTAGCAAGTTAGCCTCTTATGCTGTCATACCAGCAGGCGCGGTCCTTGGCATTGGCAAGCCTAGGCCAGACCCGGATGCTACTTCGCCCGCTCCACCTGTGAATGGTTATTTGGACGCGACACGTTTGCGCGGCGTGCTGGAGGGGTGCTCACTGTTATCATGATTGGTGACGTCGTGCATGTTCCGGGATGTAGCGATTCGGGCGGGCGATAGCTGACGTCGATGGTGGGAGGCGGTGGGAAGGACCGGCTCATCGTCGTGCCCCGCCCTGCGAGCGAGCGTAAGCTTTGCTAGATGAGGCAAGGTAGATCAAAGGCATGAGGTGGCGCATGCGCGCCGGTAGCGGGAGAACAGATCATGAGCATGCTGAGCACCAGTGCAGGGGATCCAGGAAGCATCGATTGGAGGGGTTGATCGCGATCATGGGGCGCAGTGGCCCCGCAGCCACCTCCGAAAAGTTGAACCCGAAGCTAGCTGTGTCCTCGCCGGCGGCGTTCATGGAGTGCGCGATCATGAACGATCGCAGCGGTGTACTCAAGTATTTCAGATTCGGAAGCGGGCGGGCCCGCCTGGCATTCGTATGCGTCCTGGTCATGTGCGTGCACAAAAGCCAATCAGCATCGCCTGCTTAGCTCAGTGGTAGAGCGCGTCACTTGTAAGCGCATCCTTGCGATTGCATGACGAGGTCAGTCGTTCAAACCGGCTAGTTGGCATTTCTTTTTCTGTTTTTGCTCTTCCATCATGCTGGTCAGTGCGATTGTCTACTCTCACTGTGACTTTGTGCGCTGAACCTCTTTCCACACCACCACGGTTCTCCGGTATTACTTGGCATCGTTCGTGGCACTTTTGGCGGAGGGTTTCAGAGCGCGGATGGGCTGAACATGGGCTTGAAAGGCGTACGTTGTACTTCTACCGCGAGGATATACGGAATCTGACCAGGCGTTGAGCTACGTTCCTATTCAACGCTACATTGTGCGGCGATCCGAAGCGAATGCATCTAGCAGCTCCTCCTAGACTGTATCATCGGAATCACTGCCGACGCCTTCACCGAATGGTCAATGATATGTTCGGCGATTGTGGCATTCCCAGCCTCTTCCCTTCGTCCATCTCCCGTCTCTTCAAGCACTCAGAACCCAGTCTTTCGTTGTTCTTCGACATTGCGCTCTCACCGGACACGAAGGTCGGTGAGGAAGCCGGGGCCCAGCCCCATTCTGCTCATACAATGCTCAACCCTTCTAGTACTTGGCAGACTTCTGGCAGTGCCTGCAACTTCTCGCTCGCGGGCCTGCTTGGCGTGCAACTGCCACCTTCTCCGCGTCGGTATCGCATCCAAATGACCTTGATGACTTTGGTGGCTCCCGCGGTCTATTCTCAAGTGACATCATCAAAGGTTGGCGGAGAAAGAAGTGAACAGGTCGCAACGCACGGCAATGGTCCAGCCCGTGAGGTGATACATAGGCTTTGCGCTAGCCACGCTGCCGTGTTCTCTCATGAGTTGCCATGTGTGCTTCGGTGGGTCGGGGGTCCACGGTGCTTCGGATCGCGTACTCTCATGCAGCAATTTGCTCACCTGGATGCACGCTTGCGGCGCCGCAGCGGTCCCTCGCCATCACTGGACTTGTGTTTTTGATGACAAGAGCCTGTGAATGCTTGGCGTGAGATCACCATCGCGCTGCGGTTGTGTCTGGTTTTAGCATCCGCGTCGAGTCCCTGAAGTCGGCCATGGCGAATGCTCCCCTTGGCGGGTTTTCAGAAGTCGCGGCGGAGTTCCTCCGGAGTATTGGGGAAAGCGTCGTCGCCAGAGCCGCATTTCTTTGCGCTTGTCGCCGTTGCAGCTGCCGCGCATACTTCCCACGACCAGGCCGAAGACGAGTGCCCTTGTCGGAGCCCCGATGGCTGCGTCCCGACTCATTTCTCATGACAGCTGCCGCCCTTGCTCCCGCCGAGGACAAAGTCACCCGCGGCAACCTCGGTCGGGGAAGGCTGGGCACCTTCCAGACGGTGTTCGTGAACCGTGTGGTCGAAAACTGCGAACGGTGCCTCTGTACCAGTAGTAAATTCGGTAAAATAAACGGAGATTAGACCAAGACTTCGCTGACGCTCCACCAATTGGTTCTGGCGAGAGTTGGTGACAAACGGACGCGTCAAAACAGACCATCAGGCAATACAGTTATGCGACGAATGGGACAAAGATACATGATATACTCTTATTCCGGCCGCGGCGACACCTGTCCTACCACCGCAGTAGCGAGCGCCCTTCAATCTCAGATCGGTTGGGAGGTCGGGGCTTGAATGTGTTCGTTTGGATGACGGCTGACACGTACGCTCAATTTCGCAGGCTCGTCGAGACAATGTCCCTTTTCTTGCTCTGACTTTGAGGACCTCCAACTTCGTCCCAACCTCCGATCTCGCCGTGAGCCAGGTACCAAGCCATTCCACAACGGATATCGGACTTCACGACCACCAGTACCAACAATCCGCTGAGTCTCCCAGTCTACATCCGAAAGCCAGACCGATTTGAGTTCAGGGAACATGAGCGCGCCGCGCGCGGGTGTGCCAGAGGAAGGCCCCGAGTCGGTGCCAACATGAAACATCCAGTAGGGAAAGCTCAAAGATGAGATCATGTGCTTCGCCTTGATACGCGCGAGGAATGGTATGGGTATCGTGGTGGAATTGAAGGACAGAGGACCCTTGAGCGCAACGGCTTCTATATCCTCTGGAATCAGTAGCAAGTCGCATACGCTGTTGATTTCCTCAAGGGCGACAGTGCTCGGCAAATCACCCCTCTGCTCTTGGAACATGGCGACGATCTTGATGTCTCCCGGGGAAGAGAAACTGAAGTCTTCCGAAGGTATCTTCGCCTCCGTCCTCCAAGCTTCAATCGCCATGAATACTATATCCTCATCGTCCATGCATAAGCCCGATGCCAAACTAAGGGCGCGCAATGGGCGGTAGCGTGCTACAGGGAGCAAATGGCGGAGGGAGGAGGTGAGGCGGGGCAGCTCGTCGCGCGACACTGCGGGACATTTGATGATGACACGGGAAGTCTCTGGAAGTACGCAGTGCTGCAAGAGTAACTCAACGCCAGCAAGCTCTCCGCATGAATTGAGGGATTCGAGGCGAAGGAGGGGAACGGAAGACGCACAGGTCGCGCTCAGGTCGTTGGTGGAAGGTAGGCAGCCATGAAGCGAAAGTTTACGCAAGTTTGAACAAGCACGAAGGACGTCGAGGAGCTGGTCGCAAGAAGGGCTAACTTCGCTAGGTCGCATCTTCCGAAATGGGTCATCGTCGACACCGGGCGGCGTCTCGTAATATGGATTGAGGTCGTGACTGACGGTGAGGCTTTCTAGGTTGCGCAATAACAGAGAGTCCCAGGACAAGTACGTGTGGTGGAGAGACAGGTTGCGCAATCGCGGAGCACATCCCGCAAAGAGATCCGCAGGAAGGACTACGGAGGAGCAGCGGTTTGCCATAAAATACCAGCTTTCGCGGTCCCATTTAATTGACAGTGTTTCCAGAACCGGAGCGGAGAGGGTCAACCTGTTAAAAACTTCAAGTATCTCCTCAGCTTTCGCTATGAAACAGATATCGACCAAGCGGCGGAGGATGTAGGGATAAGTGAATGGGTTGACTGGCGGCAGCGTGGGAGTCGTCCTGGGTAGCAAGGGGGGATTGTAGCGCCTCATCGATAACTTCGTGGATTTGGAGCGCAAGATGAACGCCTCGATCCAGCGTTGACCCAAAGCGAACGGAATACAGGTCCAGAGCGAGACACACGACATGGCGGTGACCCTCCATCGATGGCAAACTTGAGTGTCGATGATCCATCCAAGTTGCGAAGACATCGACTGGTCGTGATCACCGCCATCTTGCCCGCCACCGGGACATTCCATCTTGGCGTGGAATGCGAAAATCATTGATAGAATCTCCGAAGGCAGCTTTCCAACGTGGCTCTGGCAGTTGTGACGACGTTTGGTAGCGATCTTCATGGATTCGAATGAGGTCAGTAGGCGACCCAGAGCGTTGGTTTTAAGTGACTCCACGGTGGATAGTAGGTGGTGAAGTTCTTTTTGTGGACTCCGATTAATCATGGTAGATGAGGCCGAGGTCTGCGAGCCTCGAAGCAGGGTCCTGAATTCTTCGACCCAGTATTCCTCGGGATACCTAGCAGCAATTGTGAGACGTAGGTTGACATGGGGCGATGATAATGAAGCACTTACAAGTCGATAGCATCTTGAGGTCGCTGCGCACCACTAGCTCTGTTCCGGAAGTCTTCCACAAAGTCTTCCATTCAATTCGTTAACTCCAAGTTGAGTTCAATAACAGAGGTCTAGAAACGACGGCGGGGAGAAGCGACAGTGGAGAGAGGGGGTGAGCTTTAGACTCGCACTTTATGGAACAGTAAAAGACTAACTCGGACGTGGATTTGTGTCCCTAGATTCCAACTGCGACACTTGGCCGACACCGCGTAGGACTCCGTGCGTGACCGTCGCGTGGTCCAGATCAGATATTTCGGACTCGCCATGTCCTCCGATGGTGTCGACGCACATTGCTGGCTGCTTCGCATTTGGACTCGTGTCCTGGGCCTCCGCTTGACATCGCCGAAGTCCCCTTACTGCAACCCGTTGGGTCGGAAGGGTGGTTAGGCACCTGCACCATCTAGTACTTACCATTTCGGTGAAGAAGTTTGTGCCGCGGCGACGCGCGGGAACCTAGAGCCAGAAAAGCTCCTGGGCCCGGCACCCTCCGGCAGGGCCGCTTTTTGCCAGCTACCCAAGTTGGTCCTCGTCTTGTCCATGGCCAAGGCTCTCCCCAGCGAGCTCAACAATTCCGTGGAATTGATTCAGATCTTAAAGGGCGCCTTCGCATCGGTCGTAAGTGACCATGGCGTCCCAATGCAAACCCCTAACTCGACACGCGCAGTCGGCTGAATCGGCTCCGCCTCGACTCGTCACTTTCTCCTTCACCGCCGTCGTCACGACTACCGCGCCTGCTTCTCACGACCAGGCCGAAGGAGAGTGCCCTCTTAGAGCAACGGTGATCGCATCCTGATCCGCACGTCCCACGACAGCCGCCGCCGCCGCCGCCGCTCCCGCCAGCGACAGAGCCGCCCATGGTGGAAGGACCAATATACTGTGTTCATGAACCGTCATTTACTGGACGGGCAGCTACGGATGACCCGGCTTTGCTTGAATCCGATCAAAGTCTCTGATCAACTACGTTGCGCGCTGCGCACATCACGAAGTCGAGTCTCGACGAGAGTTAGTGAAAGACGACTGCATTCAACGAACACGTTAGATTACAACGACGTGACTATTAGGGAGAATCTGCGATTTACATATCCGAGTTGCAGCAACATCTATCCTACCATTACCGCAGCAAGCACTCTTCAACCTTCAAATGGCTCTGGAGGGCGATTCCATCGTGTCTTCGTGGCAACCGTCAGCACACTACTCTTGAAGTTACGCAGGCTCGCTTCACTTGGACTGGATGAATCGCAATCAATCACGAGGCTATCTATCTGCCTCATGCCCGCCCCGGACCTCATTGAGAGCCAGAGACCAAGATGTTCCGCTTCCGAAACTGGAAACCAAACAGAGCCGTCATCCGACAACTTGGTGTGAAGCCAGATGGTTTCGAGCTTGGGAAACCTCAGGGGGCCAGGTGCGCACGTTCCCGGAAAGGAGGGTTCGGTGCCGACGTCGAATATGCA